GTCCTTGATCATGTGGCTTGTCACCATCCTGCGAAGCACGTCGACTGGAGCATGGCCCATTCGCGCATGTAGATCAACAGCGTTGCTGAGTGATGTCGCATTGGCCGATCGCTGCGTCGTGCGAAGCCAGTAGAGTCCGTCTACAAGATCCGCAGCTGCCACCACTTGATTGGAATCCTTGCGAGCGACGTACATCGTATCCCCGTCAAACACCACTTGGAAGTTGCCGTGCTTGTTAATCTGCGGCACTGAGAGCAGATTTTTGCTCATGCTGGGCACATAGAGCGCGTTCTTGATCTCGATCTCGCGCTCTTCCCCGTTTGGCAGAATCACCTTTTCCACGATGGTCCCCACACCTTTGATGGCCGCCTTGTTGCCATCAGCCACCAGGATCTCGCCATCATTGCCTTCGACCAAGCTTGCAAACTTGAACTTGTCGTGGCAGATGTGATGTGTTGCCCCGCTGTCAACGGCCCACATTCCTGGTCCATTCTTGTTCGTCGAAACTCCGCATTCAAACGAAACTGCAAACGCCACTCGATCGTAGCTGTTGCCTTCATCATAATGTCGCCACTGGACATTGTTTGCCCCGCGTCCACGACCATTGCCGCCGCGTTGGGCTCCTCGACTTTCATCCTTTTGCTTCGTCCAGCAACGCTCTGCCGTGTGCCCCACCTTGCCGCAGTATGTGCATTGGTAGGGCTTGCGCTCGGTACTGAATGCCTTTGTCGCATCTTCAGTCTTCAACGTTGTCGTTGCCGTTGTCATCTTCTCGCCTTGTCGCTTGATGTGCTCGTTAGACAGCACCTTGACCACATCTTGCGTGCGCAGCTCTGCATTGCTCATCCACAAGTTCAGAACCTCGTTTTCAAAACTCTTCAGGAGACTGAGCGAAAAGCAGATCGCGATGTCTTAATCTTCCATCTTGGCACCGATGCTGCTGAGACTAACGCCGATGTTCAAGACTTCGTTGCAATGGTGCAAGACGTTGGCACCTTCCGTCATCTTGATGCTGAACAGCTGGCGCTTGAGGTAGATGCGTCCCGCCTTCTGCGACCCACCATAGAGCATCTTCAACCGCGACCACGCTGTCCATGCTTCTTCACAGTTGTCGACCACATGGTGGTAGTCGGCGTCCATGTGGAGCAACATCAACCCGAACGCGATGTTGCTCGCCTTGACGTACTCGTCGGAAGCTCGCGTGTCGGTGAAGGTTGGAGACGTTTCGCGGTTCACGACGTACCAGACTGACTTCGTCAGAAACACGCCGCGCATGTAGCGACACCAGGTTGAGTAGTTGTCCCCATCGAACTTATCGATGGAGACACTGGCCGAGGTGTTGTTGGACGACATGGCGCTTGGGCTCATAACCTGTTATAACTTGAGCGCGAGGCGAAGAGAAAACGAAGCGGAGAGACCGGAGAGAACGAAGCAGAGAACACTTGCTCACTTGAGGGAGGATTCGAAAGTGATTGATTTATAGGTCTTAACTTCTGCCTACCCTAGACTGCATCCAATCACATGGTGCATCTAATCAACCTGATTTACACGCGTCCAATCATCCTACGCGTCTAATCATCTCTGAGGTAATTACCGATGTAAAAACTATCTCGTAAGAACTACGCGCTAGGTTCGGATTGTACCCGTAACCCTCAATAAACTCGTCGAAGGTCTCGTTCCAAACACGCGAGGCTTGCTTGAGACCGTAGATCGCCTTGATCAGCTCGAGACAGTCGAAATCACCTTCCATCTTGACGCCTTCCGGAACAGCGCAGAACACCTTCTCCTTCATCACTCCATACAGGAACGCAGTCACCACATCGAGCTGGTCGAGGTGCCATCCAAAGTGCTTGGTAATGGCGATGACCATTCGCAGCGTCACATACTTGACCACGGGCGAGAACGTCTCCGTGTAGTCGATGCCATACTTTTGGCGAAAACCCTTGGCCACAAGTCGTGCCTTGTATTTCTCGATCGACCCATCCGCCTTGCGCTTGATCTTGAAGACCCACTTTGTGCCAATGGCGCTTTGTCCGTTGGGTAACTTGGCCGCACGAAAGACACCGCGAAGCTTCATCGAATCGAGCTCCGCATCAATTGCCTTGCGCCAGTGTACTTGGTCCGGGCCAGACACTGCTTCTTCAAATGTCGATGGCTCCGAAAAATCGACCGCTGCTTCGACGGCGTTTGCACTCGCATGCCAAAACGCGGAGGAAGTCCGTGTGTCATGTTGTTCCTCCGACTTCCTTTCTTCATCTTCGTTGGCTCGACGTGAAGAGAGGTCATCCGGCGCACTTGACTCTTCCAATCCGGGTCGTTGGCGCACTGCTCGGGGCATGCTTGCGTCGTCATTGTCGTGACTGGGTTGGGCCTTGCGCTTTCCTGTTTGTTTGAAGTGTCTCGGACGCGGTTCTTCATCATCAAGATCGATCGATTCGAAGTCCAGGCCATCAACATCGTCATCGGAAATCAGCATCGACATTCCAAAGGCCGACTCATCGAAGTTGACATCGCGACTTATCATCACCTGCCCCGCTTCGATGTCGTAAACTCGATACGCCTTGGACACTTCTTCGTAGCCCAAAAACAATCCAGCCCGGGCCTTGGGATCCCACTTGAGTCGTTTCTCCTTCAGGGTCAAGATGTATGCTTGGCACCCAAAAACGCGCATGTGCTTGACACTTGGCTTAGAATTGTAGACAATCTCGAACGGTGTCTTGTGTGGAATCTTGGGTGACGGCAAACGGTTCTTCACATAGACGGCCGTCATTGCCGCTTCAGCCCAGAAGCACTTGTCCAACTTGGCATGATGGAGCATGCTACGACCGATGGTGACGATAGTTCGAATCGCGCGTTCAGCAGTTCCATTGGCTTGATGTGCGTATGGCACCGTGGTTTGTTGCTCGATGCCTTCGACTTCGTAGAAATCTTGAAGCGAGTTCGTCGCAAACTCGCGGGCTCCATCGTGTCGCACAAATTTGACCTTCTTGTTGAACTGCGTCTGTATCATCGTGATGTACTTCTTGATGCACTCTTCGCTCTCTGACTTGGAATGCAGACAAAAACCCTTCATGCATCCGCTGGCTTCATCCACGATCAGCAGCAGATACTTGCTGCCACCCAGAGATTTTTCTTCCATGGGTCCGCAGATGTCGAAGTGGAGCATCTCGAAGGTGTTGTAGGTGCGCTTGTCACGGTTGCTCGGGAATGGTTTTTGGACCATCTTCCCTTCTTGGCATCCTCGACACACACTTGATCCATTCGGCTTGGAAGGGATGTGAGCGTCCTTGATCATGTGGCTTGTCACCATCCTGCGAAGCACGTCGACTGGAGCATGGCCCATTCGCGCATGTAGATCAACAGCGTTGTTGAGTGATGTCGCATTGGCCGATCGCTGCGTCGTGCGAAGCCAGTAGAGTCCGTCTACAAGATCCGCAGCTGCCACCACTTGATTGGAATCCTTGCGAGCGACGTACATCGTATCCCCGTCAAACACCACTTGGAAGTTGCCGTGCTTGTTAATCTGCGGCACCGAGAGCAGATTTTTGCTCATGCTGGGCACATAGAGCGCGTTCTTGATCTCGATCTCGCGCTCTTCCCCGTTTGGCAGAATCACCTTTTCCACGATGGTCCCCACACCTTTGATGGCCGCCTTGTTGCCATCAGCCACCAGGATCTCGCCATCATTGCCTTCGACCAAGCTTGCAAACTTGAACTTGTCGTGGCAGATGTGATGTGTTGCCCCGCTGTCAACGGCCCACATTCCTGGTCCATTCTTGTTCGTCGAAACTCCGCATTCGAACGAAACTGCAAACGCCACTCGATCGTAGCTGTTGCCTTCATCATAATGTCGCCACTGGACATTGTTTGCCCCGCGTCCACGACCATTGCCGCCGCGTTGGGCTCCTCGACTTTCATCCTTTTGCTTCGTCCAGCAACGCTCTGCCGTGTGCCCCACCTTGCCGCAGTATGTGCATTGGTAGGGCTTGCGCTCGGTACTGAATGCCTTTGTCGCATCTTCAGTCTTCACCATTGTCGTTGCCGTTGTCATCTTCTCGCCTTGTCGCTTGATGTGCTCGTTAGACAGCACCTTGACCACATCTTGCGTGCGCAGCTCTGCATTGCTCATCTCCAAGTTCAGAACCACGTTCTCGAAACTCTTCGGGAGACTGAGCAGCAAGCAGATCGCAATGTCTTCATCTTCCATCTTGGCACCGATGCTGCTGAGCTTGGCGCCGATGTTCAAGACTTCGTTGCAATGGTGCAAGACGTTGGCACCTTCCGTCATCTTGATGCTGAACAGCTGGCGCTTGAGGTAGATGCGTCCCGCCTTCTGCGACCCACCATAGAGCATCTTCAACCGCGACCACGCTGTCCATGCTTCTTCACAGTTGTCGACCACATGGTGGTAGTCGGCGTCCATGTGGAGCAACATCAACCCGAACGCGATGTTGCTCGCCTTGACGTACTCGTCGGAAGCTCGCGTGTCGGTGAAGGTTGGAGACGTTTCGCGGTTCACGACGTACCAGACTGACTTCGTCAGAAACACGCCGCGCATGTAGCGACACCAGGTTGAGTAGTTGTCCCCATCGAACTTATCGATGGAGACACTGGCCGAGGTGTTTTTGGACGACATGGCGCTTGGGCTCATAACCTGTTATAACTTGAGCGCGAGGCGAAGAGAAAACGAAGCGGAGAGACCGGAGAGAACGAAGCAGAGAACACTTGCTCACTTGAGGGAGGATTCGAAAGTGATTGATTTATAGGTCTTAACTTCTGCCTACCCTAGACTGCATCCAATCACATGGTGCATCTAATCAACCTGATTTACACGCGTCCAATCCTCCTACGCGTCTAATCATCTCTGAGGTAATTACCGATGTAAAAACTATCTCGTAAGAACTACGCGCTAGGTTCGGATTGTACCGGTAACCCTCAATAACAACGACGACAAATACGATCGAGTTGCGTTCGCGGTTTCGCTGGAGGCTGTACTTTCGATGGGCAAGAATATGCCAGGGATGTGGGCAGTCGACAGCGGTGCGACGCATCACATCTGCAACGACAAAGCCAAGTTTGCAAGTCTGAATGAGCGAGAGGAAGGCGAACTATCAGTGGCTGATGGCAGCAAGGCTGCGATCAAGGGTGTGGGAACCATCATGGAACGGGTGGTTCTGCCCAATGGTGACGAACGCGACATCGAGATCAAGGACGCACTGTTCGTACCAAGTATGAGCAAGAACCTGCTTTCGGTGCCACAGATCAACAAGGGTGGCAGGTTCCAAGTCGTGTTCGATGGGTCCAAGATGCAAGTGAAGCGCAAGAATTCCACACAAGTCGTGGCAACAGCGGATCTCGTCGATGGACTTTACTGGCTGCGGACTCCTCAACGATCGGCAAATGCAGCAACACGCAATGGGACTATCGACTTGCATGCGCGCATGGGTCATGCACCCCTCGAAGTTCTGCGCAAGATGGTGGCCACTGGCATTATCAAGGACGCCAAGGCACCTCTCAACTCGACTGGTCCAAGTGTGTGTCGCGGTTGCCAGCAAGGAAAGATGGTCCAAAAACCATTCCCAACCAACCGTGACAAACGCCAATATGGTGTGTTCGAGTTGCTGCACTTCGACATCTGCGGGCCAATGGAACAAGTCTCGATCGGCGGCAGCAGATACTGACTGCTTGTGGTTGATGAAGCCAGCGGTTGCATGAAGGGCTTCTGTCTGCGGTCCAAGTCTGAGAGTGAAGACTGTATCAAGAACCACATTATCAAGATTCAAACTCAGTTCGACACAAAGATCAAGTTTGTTCGGCACGATGGAGCGCATGAGTTTGCGACCGACTCGATCAAGACCTTCTACAAAGATCATGGTATTGAACAACAGGTCACGGTGCCGTATGCACACCAGACCAACGGCACCGCAGAACGCGCGATAAGGACCATCGTCACGATCGGACGCAGCTTGTTGCATCATGCAAAGCTGGAGAAGTGTTTCTGGGCTGAAGCGGCAATGAAGGCGATCTACATCAAGAACCGCCTGCCTTCACCCAAGATTGACCACAAGACTCCGTTCGAGATCGTTTACAAGTCGAAACCAAGTGTCAAGCACATGCGCGTGTTTGGATGTCGGGCGTTTATCCTGACACCAAGGGAGAAGCGATTGAAGTGGGACCCGAAGGCTCGTGAAGGGATGTTCATGGGCTACGAAGAAGCGTCAAAAGCTTATCGAGTGTACTACATTGAGGCGGGCCAAGTGGTGATCAGTCGTGATATCACCTTCGACGAATCGACTTTTGACTTTTCGATGGACCGACCAAGTGACGATGATAAAGATGCAGAGTTGGACCTCGAACTCCTGGCGATCAACGAGGACGACGTGCGTCAAACCGTCTACAAGCATGTTGACGGTCATCGGTTTTCTACCAGTATTGGTAACCGTGACCGATCCAATCCGAACCGCCTGTTCAGCTTAGTATTTACGACGTAGTTCTTACGGTAATTACCATAGTTGGTTAGACGCGTAGGATGATGAGACGCTTCACATGATTTATGTGTACACCACATATAAATCATGTAGTAAGTAGTAAGCCCCGATGATCAATCACTTTCGAATCTTCCAACTATTGGGCAAGTGTTTTCTGCTCTACTCTCTTCGGTCTCTCCGCTCCGTTCGCTCCGCTTTCCTCGCTCCGATCTACAATGCAACAGGTTATGAGCCCAAGCGCCATGTCGTCCACCAGCAACGCCTCCATTGACAAGTTCAACGGAGACAATTACGCAACGTGGAGCCGGTACATGCGCGGTGTGTTTTTGACGCAGTCCGTCTGGCACGTCGTCAACCGTGAAGTGACTCCGACTTTCACCGACCCGCGAGCGTCCGATGACTACGTCAAGGCAACAACGTCGCGTTTGGTATGATGCTGCTGCACATGAACGCGGACTACCATCATGTGCTGGACAACTGCGAGGAAGCCTGGGTTGCGTGGACAGGTCTGAAGACGCTGTACGGTGGGTCGCAGAAGGCAGGACGCATCTACCTCAAGCGACAACTTTTCAGTACCAAGATGGCTGAAGGCGCGAACGTCATGCATCACTGCAACGAGGTCCTCAACATCTCCGCCAAGCTTAGCGGCATCGGTGCGAAGATGGAAGACGAAGACGTTGCAATTTGTCTGCTACTCAGTCTTCCGAAGAGCTACGAAAATGTGGTGCTCAACATGGAAATGAGCAGCACCGAGCTTCGCACTCAAGATGTGGTGAGAGTCCTGACGAATGAGCATGCCAAGCGTCAAGGAGAAAAAGGGACAACGACAGCGACTACGGTGAAGGCTGAAGATGCAAGCAAGGCATTCAGCGCCGAGCGTGAGCCCTACCAATGCACGTATTGTGGCAAGGTGGGACACACGGTGGATCGTTGCTGGACAAAGCAGAAGAACGAAGGTCGGGGAGCCCGACGCGGCGGCAATGGTCGTGGACGCGGGGCTAACAATGTCCAGTGGGGACATCATGATGAAGGCAATGGCTACGATCGAGTGGCGTTTGCAGTCTCGTTCGAATGTGGAGTTTCGACGAGCAAGGACGTGTATGGAATGTGGGCTTATTGAGGGTTACCGGTACAATCCGAACCTAGCGCGTAGTTCTTACGAGATAGTTTTTACATCGGTAATTACCTCAGAGATGATTAGACGCGTAGGATGATTGGACGCGTGTAAATCAGGTTGATTAGATGCACCATGTGATTGGATGCAGTCTAGGGTAGGCAGAAGTTAAGACCTATAAATCAATCACTTTCGAATCCTCCCTCAAGTGAGCAAGTGTTCTCTGCTTCGTTCTCTCCGGTCTCTCCGCTTCGTTTTCTCTTCGCCTCGCGCTCAAGTTACAACAGGTTATGAGCCCAAGCGCCATGTCGTCCAACAACACCTCGGCCAGTGTCTCCATCGATAAGTTCGATGGGGACAACTACTCAACCTGGTGTCGCTACATGCGCGGCGTGTTTCTGACGAAGTCAGTCTGGTACGTCGTGAACCGCGAAACGTCTCCAACCTTCACCGACACGCGAGCTTCCGAAGAGTACGTCAAGGCGAGCAACATCGCGTTCGGGTTGATGTTGCTCCACATGGACGCCGACTACCACCATGTGGTCGACAACTGTGAAGACGCATGGACAGCGTGGTCGCGGTTGAAGATGCTCTATGGTGGGTCGCAGAAGGCGGGACGCATCTACCTCAAGCGCCAGCTGTTCAGCATCAAGATGGCGGAAGGTGCCAACGTCTTGCACCATTGCAACGAAGTCTTGAACATCGGCGCCAAGCTCAGCAGCATCGGTGCCAAGATGGAAGACGAAGACATTGCGATCTGCTTGCTGCTCAGTCTCCCGAAGAGTTTCGAGAACGTGGTTCTGAACTTGGAGATGAGCAATGCAGAGCTGCGCACGCAAGATGTGGTCAAGGTGCTGACTAACGAGCACATCAAGCGACAAGGCGAGAAGATGACAACGGCAACGACAATGGTGAAGACTGAAGATGCGACAAAGGCATTCAGTACCGAGCGCAAGCCCTACCAATGCACATACTGCGGCAAGGTGGGGCACACGGCAGAGCGTTGCTGGACGAAGCAAAAGGATGAAAGTCGAGGAGCCCAACGCGGCGGCAATGGTCGTGGACGCGGGGCAAACAATGTCCAGTGGCGACATTATGATGAAGGCAACAGCTACGATCGAGTGGCGTTTGCAGTTTCGTTCGAATGCGGAGTTTCGACGAACAAGAATGGACCAGGAATGTGGGCCGTTGACAGCGGGGCAACACATCACATCTGCCACGACAAGTTCAAGTTTGCAAGCTTGGTCGAAGGCAATGATGGCGAGATCCTGGTGGCTGATGGCAACAAGGCGGCCATCAAAGGTGTGGGGACCATCGTGGAAAAGGTGATTCTGCCAAACGGGGAAGAGCGCGAGATCGAGATCAAGAACGCGCTCTATGTGCCCAGCATGAGCAAAAATCTGCTCTCGGTGCCGCAGATTAACAAGCACGGCAACTTCCAAGTGGTGTTTGACGGGGATACGATGTACGTCGCTCGCAAGGATTCCAATCAAGTGGTGGCAGCTGCGGATCTTGTAGACGGACTCTACTGGCTTCGCACGACGCAGCGATCGGCCAATGCGACATCACTCAACAACGCTGTTGATCTACATGCGCGAATGGGCCATGCTCCAGTCGACGTACTTCGCAAGATGGTGACAAGCCACATGATCAAGGACGCTCACATCCCTTCCAAGCCGAATGGATCAAGTGTGTGTCGAGGATGCCAAGAAGGGAAGATGGTCCAAAAACCATTCCCGAGCAACCGTGACAAGCGCACCTACAACACCTTCGAGATGCTCCACTTCGACATCTGCGGACCCATGGAAGAAAAATCTCTGGGTGGCAGCAAGTATCTGCTGCTGATCGTGGATGAAGCCAGCGGATGCATGAAGGGTTTTTGTCTGCATTCCAAGTCAGAGAGCGAAGAGTGCATCAAGAAGTACATCACGATGATACAGACGCAGTTCAACAAGAAGGTCAAATTTGTGCGACACGATGGAGCCCGCGAGTTTGCGACGAACTCGCTTCAAGATTTCTACGAAGTCGAAGGCATCGAGCAACAAACCACGGTGCCATACGCACATCAAGCCAATGGAACTGCTGAACGCGCGATTCGAACTATCGTCACCATCGGTCGTAGCATGCTCCATCATGCCAAGTTGGACAAGTGCTTCTGGGCTGAAGCGGCAATGACGGCCGTCTATGTGAAGAACCGTTTTGTTGCAATGTAGATCGGAGCGAGGAAAGCGGAGCAAACGGAGCGGAGAGACCGAAGAGAGTAGAGCAGAAAACACTTGCCCAATAGTTGGAAGATTCGAAAGTGATTGATTATCGGGGCTTACTACTTACTACATGATTTATATGTGGTGTACATATAAATCATGTGAAGCGTCTCATCATCCTACGCGTCTAATCAACTATGGTAATTACCGTAAGAACTACGTCGTAAATACTAAGCTGAACAGGCGGTTCGGATTGGATCGGTCACGGTTACCAATACTGGTAGAAAACCGATGACCGTCAACACGCCCCCTCAATCCGAATGCTCACGAATCCCGAGAGTCGCCGTCATCTCCTTGTGGCGTGGCCCGTGAAGTCCCTTCGTCATGATGTCCGCTAACATCACCGCAGTTTCACAGTACTTGAGCTTCACTTCACCGCGCTTGACCTCATCACGGATGTGATGGTACTTGATATCAATGTGCTTGGCACGGCCGTGGTTGACTGGGTTCTTCGTCATCTTGATACACGACTGATTGTCTTCATGGATCATGAGTTCCGGTCCTTCTTCATTGGCAGCCATCACGATCTCACAAAGCAGACGATGAATCCACTTGCCCTCTTGAATCGCCAAGCTGAGTGCGATGTATTCGGCTTCACTCGTGGACAACGAAACACTTGGCTGCTTCTTGCTGCCCCAACTGACTGGCGCACCGAGTAGCATGAACGTGTACCCCGATGTTGACTTGCGGTCGGTAAGATCACCAGCCCAATCCGCATCCGAATATCCACGGAAGTCGATCCTTGCACTTGGCTTGTAGCAAATTCCATGCGTCTTGGTGCCTTGTAGGTAGCGAAAGATACGCTTAACTGCAACCCAGTGTTCTTCTTGGGGATTTTCCATGAACCGCGACACATAGCCCACAGCAAACGCAATGTCCGGACGCGTTGCAGTGGTCAGGTGCATCAACGCACCAACAGCTTCGCGAAAAGGAGCATCGACCTTGGTAGTTGCATCACTTGAAACAAGTCGAGAGCTCATGTCGACTGGACTTGCAATCATCCATGCCAAAGCGCTTGAGGATATCATCGACATACCGACGCTGACATAGTGTCACACTGCCATCTTCACCGTCCAAAAGCTCGATCCCAAGAACAAACGCACACTTGCCGCTGTCCGTCATTTCGAACCGCGTCTTCAGGTCGTTCTTGGTTTGTGCAATCAGCTCGAGCGAGCTTCCAGTCACCAAGACGTCGTCCACGTAGACCAGTATAAACACGCAATGGCCGTCCGAAGTCTTGATGTAGAGACATGGGTCGAAGTCCGATACTTGAAATCCGATGGAGCACACATACTCGTCGAACGTCTCGTTCCACACTCGCGACGCTTGCTTGAGGCCGTAAATTGACTTCACCAATTCCAGGCAGTCGAACGTACTGTCAAGTTCGACGCCTTCAGGAATCACGCAGAACACTTGTTCCTTCATGACGCCATACAGGAAAGCTGTCACCACATCAAGCTGGTCGATGGGCCATCCAAAATGCTTGGAAATTGCGATCACCATTCGCAGCGTCACATACTTGACCACAGGCGAAAACGTCTCCGTGTAGTCGATGCCATACTTTTGGCGGAAACCCTTGGCCACAAGTCGTGCCTTGTACTTCTCGATTGACCCATCCGCCTTGCGCTTGATCTTGAACACCCATTTTGTGCCAATGGCGCGTTGTCCGTTGGGCAGCTTGGCTGCACGAAACACACCGCGAAGTCGCATTGACTCGAGCTCTGCATGAATTGCTTTTCTCCAGTGCACTTGGTCAGGGCCGCTTACTGCTGCTTCAAATGTTGAGGGTTCTGATAAGTCCACTGCTGCTTCAACGGCATTTGCACTCGCACGCCAAAACACAGGCGGTGTTGAATCACCAGAATCCTTCGTTTCTTCGTCTTCTTCTTGTCGTGACGAGTTGTTTTCCGGCGCGCTTGACTCTTCTAGTCCTGGTCGTTGACGCACTGCACGCGGTCGTGGAGCTGCTGTATCTTCATCATTGAGTCGGTTCTTGCGCTTGCCTGTTTGCTTGTACTCCATTTGACGCAGCTCTTCGTCATCAAGATCCAGCAATTCGAAGTCCAGGTCATCGACATCTTCATCAGTGATCGGCAGTTGAAGTCCAAAGGTGGACTCGTCGAAGTTGACATCGCGGCTGATAACCACCTGCCCCGCCTCGATGTCATAAACACGATATGCCTTCGAAACTTCTTCGTAGCCCACGAATATGCCAGCGCGAGCCTTTGGATCCCACTTGAGTCGATTCTCTTTAGGCGTCAGTATGTATGTCTGACACCCGAATGTTCGCATGTGCTTGACGCTTGGTTTCAAGTTGTAGACGATCTCAAACGGGGTCTTGTGCACGACTTTAGGTGACGGCAGTCGATTCTTGACGTAGATGGCCGTCATCGCTGCTTCGGCCCAGAAACACTTGTCCAGTTTGGCATGATGAAGCATGCTGCGGCCGATCGTGACAATAGTCCTAATGGCACGCTCTGCTGTTCCGTTTGTTTGATGTGCATACGGCACCGTTGTCTGCTGTTCAATGCCTTCGTCTTCGTAGAACAGTTGAAGCGAGTTGGTTGCAAACTCGCGAGCTCCGTCGTGTCGCACGAACTTGACCTTCTTACAGAATTGCGTCTGTACCATGGTGATATATTTCCGGATGTAGTCTTCACTCTCGGACTTCACTCGTAGACAAAAGCCCTTCATGCCTCCACTGGCTTCGTCGATGATCAGCAGCAAATATTTGCTGCCACCGAGCGAATCCTTTTCCATGGGCCCGCAGATGTCCAGATGAAGTAGCTCAAACGTATCGTAGCTGCGCTTGTCTCGGTTGCTTGGAAATGGTTTTTGGACCATTTTCCCTTGTTGACATCCTCGACATGTAGTTGCTCCACCCGACTTGAGAGGGACTCGCACATCCTTGATCATGTTGGTCGCGATCATCTTGCGAAGTACATCGACTGGAGCATGACCCATTCTCGCATGTAGATCGGCACAACTGGTTCCACTTGTTGTCACATTCGCTGATCGTTGAGTCGTCGAAGCCAGTAGAGTCCATCCACGAGATCCGCTGTCGCCACCACTTGCTGTGAGTTCTTGAGAGTCACATACATCTTGGACCCGTCAAACACGACTTGAAACTTGCCATGGCTGTTAATCTGTGGCACCGAGAGCAGGTTCTTGCTCATACTTGGAACATATAGCGCGTTCTTGATTTCGATCTCACGCTCTTCACCGTTGGGCAGAACCACCTTTTCCATGATGGTTCCCACACCCTTGATGGCCACCTTGTTGCCATCAGCCACCAAGAGTTCGCCCTCATTGCGCTCTGCCAAACTTGCGAACTTGGTCTTGTCGTGGCAAATGTGGTGCGTTGCACCACTGTCGACGGCCCACATTCCAGACACGTCCTTGCTCGTCGAAACTCCACATTCGAACGAGACTGCAAACGCCACTCGATCGTAGCCATTGCCTTCATCATGATGTCCCCACTGGACATTGTTAGCCCCGCGTCCACGACCATTGCCGCCGCGTCGGGCTCCCCGACCTTCGTTCTTCTGCTTTGTCCAGCAACGATCCACCGTGTGTCCCACCTTGCCACAATACGTGCATTGGTAGGGCTCACGCTCGGCGCTGAATGCCTTGCTTGCATCTTCAGCCTTCACCGTAGTCGCTGTCGTTGTCCCTTTTTCTCCTTGACGCTTGGCATGCTCATTCGTCAGGACTCTCACCACATCTTGAGTGCGAAGCTCGGTGCTGCTCATTTCCATGTTGAGCACCACATTTTCGTAGCTCTTCGGAAGACTGAGTAGCAGACAAATTGCAACGTCTTCGTCTTCCATCTTCGCACCGATGCCGCTAAGCTTGGCGGAGATGTTGAGGACCTCGTTGCAGTGATGCATGACGTTCGCGCCTTCAGCCATCTTGATACTGAAAAGTTGTCGCTTGAGGTAGATGCGTCCTGCCTTCTGCGACCCACCGTACAGCGTCTTCAGACTTGTCCACGCAACCCAGGCTTCCTCGCAGTTGTCCAGCACATGATGGTAGTCCGCGTTCATGTGCAGCAGCATCATACCAAACGCGACGTTGCTTGCCTTGACGTAGTCATCGGACGCTCGCGGGTCGGTGAAAGTCGGAGTCACTTCACGGTTGACGACGTGCCAGACGGACTTCGTCAAAAACACACCGCGCATGTACCGGCTCCACGTTGCGTAATTGTCTCCGTTGAACTTGTCAATGGAGGCGTTGCTGGTGGACGACATGGCGCTTGGGCTCATAACCTGTTGCATTGTAGATCGGAGCGAGGAAAGCGGAGCGAACGGAGCGGAGAGACCGAAGAGAGTAGAGCAGAAAACACTTGCCCAATAGTTGGAAGATTCGAAAGTGATTGATTATCGGGGCTTACTACTTACTACATGATTTATATGTGGTGTACATATAAATCATGTGAAGCGTCTCATCATCCTACGCGTCTAATCAACTATGGTAATTACCGTAAGAACTACGTCGTAAATACTAAGCTGAACAGGCGGTTCGGATTGGATCGGTCACGGTTACCAATACTGGTAGAAAACCGATGACCGTCAACACGTTTGCCGTCACCCAAGATTCCACACAAGACACCGTTCGAGATTGTCTACAGTTCTAAGCCAAGTGTCAAGCACATGCGCGTTTTTGGGTGCCAAGCATACATCTTGACCCCGAAGGAGAAACGACTCAAGTGGGATCCCAAGGCCCGGGCTGGATTGTTTTTGGGCTACGAAGAAGTGTCCAAGGCGTATCGAGTTTACGACATCGAAGCGGGGCAGGTGATGATAAGTCGCGATGTCAACTTCGATGAGTCGGCCTTTGGAATGTCGATGATGATTTCCGATGACGATGTTGATGGCCTGGACTTCGAATCGATCGATCTTGATGATGAAGAACCGCGTCCGAGACACTTCAAACAAACAGGAAAGCGCAAGGCCCAACCCAGTCACGACAATGACGACGCAAGCATGCCCCGAGCAGTGCGCCAACGACCCGGATTGGAAGAGTCAAGTGCGCCGGATGACCTTGTTGACGGTCATCGGTTTTCTACCAGTATTGGTAACCGTGACCGATCCAATCCGAACCGCCTGTTCAGCTTAGTATTTACGACGTAGTTCTTACGGTAATTACCATAGTTGATTAGACGCGTAGGATGATGAGACGCTTCACATGATTTATATGTACACCACATATAAATCATGTAGTAAGTAGTAAGCCCCGATAATCAATCACTTTCGAATCTTCCAACTATTGGGCAAGTGTTTTCTGCTCTACTCTCTTCGGTCTCTCCGCTCCGTTTGCTCCGCTTTCCTCGCTCCGATCTACAATGCAACAGGTTATGAGCCCAAGCGCCATGTCGTCCACCAGCAACGCCTCCATTGACAAGTTCAACGGAGACAATTACGCAACGTGGAGCCGGTACATGCGCGGTGTGTTTTTGACGAAGTCCGTCTGGCACGTCGTCAACCGTGAAGTGACTCCGACTTTCACCGACCCGCGAGCGTCCGATGACTACGTCAAGGCAAGCAACGTCGCGTTTGGTATGATGCTGCTGCACATGAACGCGGACTACCATCATGTGCTGGACAACTGCGAGGAAGCCTGGGTTGCGTGGACAAGTCTGAAGACGCTGTACGGTGGGTCGCAGAAGGCAGGACGCATCTACCTCAAGCGACAACTTTTCAGTATCAAGATGGCTGAAGGCGCGAACGTCATGCATCACTGCAACGAGGTCCTCAACATCTCCGCCAAGCTTAGCGGCATCGGTGCGAAGATGGAAGACGAAGACGTTGCAATTTGTCTGCTACTCAGTCTTTCCGAAGAGCTACGAAAATGTGGTTGCTCAACATGAAGTGAGCAACCGAGCTTCGCACTCAAGATGTGGTGAGAGTCC